TTCCAAAAACTCTTTCTGTGAATTATTTCTCTCAAATGTAATCACTGCAAATATTGCACCACAAAGGATGTTAATACAAGACACGGTACATTTCGTGTTTGCTTAATTAACCTGCTACAATGTTTTTAGTATGTTAACAATATGAGTAAACATGCATTAGATATGCGCAGAATAAAATTCCAATCAATGTGTAAATAATCCACGCTAGCTACAATAAAAGTCGGATGGAAAATTAATCAAATAAATCTGATTTCCTTAACGAGCTTTGATTTACCTGAGCAGGTGAGACAATAACCCACCTGAGAACTTCCAGGTGATAACGAAAGGTAACGATCAATTACCTGCTCTTAAGACTGCAAGCAATGTAACGGACACCACTCCTAATGTCAACATGTCACTTAGACGGTGTAATGCATCAAATGCTGAGATTTGTGTCGCATGAATAACCTCCCTTGAAGAGTGCTCTCTAGTCTGAACAGATGGTAGAACTGCTCTTAATTACTGCAATTGGCACAATTAAGCTGGACAAATATTGATACATCCTGACTTTTCTTATTTAAGACAGTACTTGAGATATCTTTCCTGCGGAAATCAAAGACTACTTGAATGAGACTCACCGTAAATTACAAATTGATTCATACCTGAAAAACTTCAGTTGAACACAAAGGAAAATATCAATGCTTTGCAACAAGAACATGATCTTGAAAACAGCTTAACCAGATTCAAAAACTGAATTAAAGTCAATTAATGTTTATGTTTTCCTTAAGATTTTAAAGGAACTTGCATAAGAATCAAAAGCTGATTTTCAGGATAGCACCAACATTGTATAATCACAACATTTCATTCACAAACCAGGACTTCAGTACAAAACATGGACAAAAACCCATCCCATGATCAGTCAAAGTCTCCCTAAATTGAATTTAGTTGTCTCAAGAGTTGAGGCTAACATGGTTACCTCCCCTTTGTCTGGACGCAATATCAATCAGTGTCATAGCATTCTTTTAACAAGGAAAAGGCTTCTACAGACTACTTTTTAAATTTTAAGAAGTTTTCACTTCAAAGCTAAGCTACTCTCCAAAACAAATTCTCAATGCATTTAGTGTCAGATAAACCAACTGCCAATCTTTTGATATCTTGCAATAAGCAAATCAGGGGCGTAAAATTTTATATATTACACCATAATTAAACGACACGCTTTTGTCTTTGAGACGCTTTGATGCATGGATAACGCACGCAACAGCTTCAAACTCTTGTCAAACTTCCCGAAATTAAAACCTGAAGAAAGAAACTTTTGAGTTGTGTTTCACTGAACACATGAAATGAACTTAATATGCTAAAAACACAATATGTATTTCAAACCTCAGCATTTAAATTATGCATTTTATCATCATGGTTTCAGTAATATGACATTTAAAAAGTTAAAACTAGAAATAAATAAAAATGGATGGAGTGAGACGAGAAACACTTTTCCAAATCTAATAGAAATCATGTCAGGAAAACATCTAGTTTGTCACAACACTAATATTTTTCCCTGGCTCCGTGTCACAGATCTGACAAAGTCTGGCGCTTTCAAGGATCTGTTACACCGACTTAACAGACACAAAACCATGTGAAACAAATAGCTATTCTTGTTCTATTTAGGTAAGAAAAATACATGCATACCAGGCTAGTATTGTTGAAGGCTTTGTTCTATTGCACAGAACTGACATATATCTGAGGCTCTGAAGGCTCCGTAACACAAAACACTGACGTAATGTATGCAACACCATTTCAGACAAACCATACCTTTTCTGTTCAATGCACACCATCGTAATATCATCTTGACATATATTGTTTCCTTAAATATCAGTTAATCATTTCACATACAAATATCAATTAGTGTTTATCATGTGAGTGAGTAAGCTTGTACACTGCTTTATCACTATTCCAGCAATATCACAGCAGGCACACCAGAAATGGGCTTCATGCATTCCACCATGTGGGGAATCAAACCCAGGTCTTCGGTGTGACGAGAGAACGCTTTAACCACAAGGCTACCACAGTGTCCCGTGTATCACGTGAAGCTATTTTATTATCAGATCAGATCAGGATAATTACCTTCATCTACTTGACCAGGCTATCTTTACAAGTTGCCCTAATCAACCAGCTCATCTTTTGGAAAATTTCTGATCTTAGTTTTTGTTGTAATTTTGCAGCATAATGTCATTACCCCCTTGGTTAACAGAAGTTTATTTTCTCATTACTTGGAATTTTATTATTAACACAATTAGACTAACTTTCATCTCCAGTATCATGATGTAATCTTAGATGTTTTGCATCAAATTAAAACATTAAACACAATGTGGTGTAATTCAATTTTGGAAAATTAAAAAGTGCTGCAGAATTGGGTGGTATCATGTCTGTAACTTTCCTGTAATGTTGAAGTATTTGATGAATTCGACTTCTTTAGTCGAAAATTCCTTTGGTCTTCAATAAAACCATGACTAATCTTAAGCAAGTTATTCAAAGCAGGAATCTGAGAATAATTGGGTCATCAATTCACTTGAATTCAAACTGGGACAATTGCTGAGTTTCTGTCATGGAGGAAGTGCCACTTCACAATTACCTGTGCCCTCTATTGACCAAACAATTTCAAAATCTTGCCAAACCATACGGTCTTGTCACTGATTTTAAAGAAATATGGTCTTAATGCAAACACAATTTGCAGTTAATTGTCAGATTTTTCACAATAAAAGACCAGTGGCATGAAAAATCTATTGTTAGTATGTTAATTACATCAGAATTATCTTTTATCATGTTAAACACGGTTGTGAATCATATAAAGAATTGCGACTGTAGAAATGAATCATCCTCCAAATCAGAATAATTATTGAATCGTTTCAGTAAAAATCATTACACCTGTCAAAATGTAAACAATATTGTTACCAAATGTGATCACTGTTTATCCAGTTTAGTATTACAGAAAATAAAAATCATATCCTCTAAAATTCCAAATAATATTCTTGCACAAAAATCTGAAACACAAACTGACATGAAACACAAAAACTGTAACATGAATTCTTACGTAACAATGGTTCATAGCAATATGCACAAATCGATTTCCATTCACGGCACATATATAACTTTGATCCAATTTATTCTACTCGTAAATCTCCCTAACCTGTGTTTATGCACAATGCAAACACATTTAGAAGCATGATCTATAATCAGTTGTGAGCACTAAACCCAGGCTTTAAGCAATTGTGTTGGGTATGCATGTGATGTTTAACAATCCCTACAAATTACAACAAATTCCCCAACAATTGATACAAAGTTTGCTGGTCACAGGCTTAAGAGCTCATCAATATTTGCCTTGTTATCCACTGAGCCTCTCATGGCATGTTGGAGAGTCCCTCAACAATTTCAGGTCAACCTGTCCACAACATCTCCCTCATTTCAGAGAGAATCCACAATAACCCCATGTTGTTCTGACAAGGATTGGAGCTGGGATTCACCATGCTAAGTGCTCAAGTCAACCAGGGCATTAATGTCATAGATTGCCTGGTTTTATATGGTGCCCCAAGTCATTTGTTTATCATGGTCAAGCACTACCACATTGGGTAACCAAAATAGGATTCAATCCTGGATTTTGTGCAAAAGGAAAAGCACACTAACCACTTGCCTCCGTGACGTCTGTTGGTTTCTTTTTAAAAAATATCATCAAAATGTATGGGCAGAATGGATAAAATGTGTTCTAAAGAAATCAGAGGCAATGAAACTGGTTGTTAGAATTCAAAATGAAAACAGCAGCAGAAATGTGGTGATTCAAACACACAATCCGTTGAAGATCCAACAATTGTAACCTCATTTTGAAACCTGATTACAAGGATGGGACGATGACAACACAACAGTGAAAGCTTTCCTCTAATGTCCGAGGCCTGTACTGGAAACAAATTCTAATTAATCTACACACTTGGCATTTTGAAAAAATGGCAAATTTATTCATGAAATACCCATTTGGGCCAGTGAACCTTTTGACAAGGGAGGTCCGAAAGTGCACTTTGTAAGGATTTTGTGAAGATTTCAAAGATAAAATGACCAATACCAGATCCTTTCCTGTCCATACTATCGAAATCAGGGTCTCCCCGAAAGAACAGAAACAGAACAATCATATTCAGTCCAGCAAAAAATTATTTCATTGAATTTGGTCATTTTTCATACAGTCTGGCAAATTAACGAGGGCAAAGATCAAAGATTGGAAATCTAAAACTCTGATTGAAAATATTGACCCGATTTTGAGCGTCCCATAGCATCAAAGATATCAGGCATGGCCTCTTGAAGAATGCTAACATCATGTTGAGACAAGGTCTTGGGGAGGATATCCGTCTTTACGATTGCATCATTTGTTTCGAAGATGCTTGTCATATCAAAGACTGTTATGACCCAATCCTGTGTTGAATCCCAAGGCTTTTAATAGTTGCAAATTTGAAGAAGCATTTTAACTGTATCAGGAAAAATCTAGGACAGATTGATTTCACTGATTTTAGTGTGAATAAAGAATGTTGACATTTCAAATAAACCTTTCCTTTGAGATATGACTTAATGTCTAAAGCTAAATAGCCTTGTAAAATTGGGAAAGCCCTAGAATTAAGTACTTTGGTCAGAACTGGTGAGGAGGCTCTGATTTTATTGTTAATGAACATTGCTCCAAATTTATGCCCTTTTCGTCAGTTTTTCGCAACTGAAATTGAGTGTCTTAACAAGTTTTATTTGCATGGTGATCAATCAGATGATTGATCACTGTGACATGCTTGTTAAAACTTGAATACCTTCTCATACAGATTATTATTTCAAACAGGACACAGCTTTGGAGTTATGTCCCCTTCAAGAGTTCTGATTTGCACAGGTTTTCACATTTTGAGGCTATTGTTGCTTGAATGATCAGTTTACCATTTGTTTTCTGTGCTGTTTTAACTGCAACAATCCAGTGTGGTTTGTGTAAAGTAAGGGAGACAACCTACTTGTTCGGGTTTAAGCCCAGTTGGTACCCAGGCATACTCTTCAAGAGGACAGCCGCTGTCATCATCGCTGGTTGAGTTCCTCTTGACGTCGTGGATGAGTCGGTTGAGGGTACGTTCCTGCTCGCCACCGGTTGCCATGTCATGTGCTTCGGGAGGACATTTGCAATGTCTGCATATTTTTCTGGAAGAAACAAATCACCATGAAAATGACATTTCAACTGATGAAAGAATATATATACCACAGCAATTCAGGCTGAATTCTGGTACAGCACACAGAAAATGGAACGTCTGGGCATTATGAAACATCAAAAAAGTCATATGCCATAAAATTGTGGCAAACCTCAAGGTTCATTACACTAGCGAGAATCTGGTATCACCTCTTACTCTAATTATTTGACATTAAATATGTCCTAGGCGACCTTTCCGACATTGCGACTGCTTCTTGAACAGACTCCCTCAGTCTTAATTCATCATTCAGCTTCTACACAAAAAGGCAGAGCCATAATTATGTGAAGAAAATTCAGCCAAACGCAAAAACTACAATCCGAATGAACATGCAATCTGAGCTATTAAAGGATGTAACTGCACTGGCCACTTTTTGTGAGCAGCAGTGAGACTATTGAATAGCACCTTAATGAAGAAACTATTGACGACTTTACAGAAATCAATCAATGAGAGGAAGGTCAGTCTGCCCATCAGCGGAACATGGGCCCGCTCCCCAAATCGCAAAAGCCAGCAGCAGTGAAAGTGCACCTAAATGAGCTATGGAACTTAAAACTATGAATGATAGTGAAATATTAATACATTCTGTTGGCAATTAGAGGCTGCAGAGGGATTAAACCTCCCTTCTCGCTGAGAAAAGTTCATGAGAACACGCTCAAATGTCAACATTCACAAACGAGCTAAGTCCACTCTGCCCGCTAAACCCGAGATTGCCGTAAATAGCATTTAGTCAAGCGACGTTCTTAACACTTTCTAAATAGACTTGCCACGTGATGGAATCTCAAGGATTTTATTCAAAATAGTCATCCCATCTCAGAATAAATCTTTTGTGCCTTACAACAAATCATTTACAATGTCCGTTATAGTTTCTTGTAGTTTTTTTTGGTTTTGCAGATTGTTTTAAACACCCACAAAATATTAATTCAACATCTTTACTGAGACTGGTCATTTGTTTCCAAGCTCACGTCCAAACAACACAGGGATGAATGTCAATACACTTCACCCCAGCCTCCACCTCTCTCTAGCTCAGTCTGAATTCCAACAATTACGTACCACTTGTTTGATGAGAATACTCAGTGGATCAATAACTTCCAAGACCAGATACCGGGTATTATCTCGACACGAAAACCTACTGTTCCTTATATATTCAAGAAAAGGCCTAATTACAACCTACAGCAGCAGCAATGTTAGCCAAACAGGGCATTTACACCTCCAGCCTACACACAAAGTCAGGGGTTGTGTTAACAAAGTATTGGTTCTCAATCAAATAGACAATTCCATGATAATCCGATTATTGACTTGTGTAAGCACAGGCTTAGCTTAAGCAGACGCAATGATTGTAACCACTGAAAACACGTCAATACATCTCTGGGCTGCAAAATCGGATGTGTTAAAGAGGCGTGAAAACACAGGAAGCTAACTACAAGAGTCTCACACTGTTCTCTCTCTCTCTGTGAGTGTGTGTGTGAGTGTCTGTCTGCTGTGTGTGTGTGTTTATTAAGGGATGTTGTGCAACTTGTAATCCAAAATGTCTTAGGATATTCATTGATTCCAGACACATAACCCTGATTAATAGTCATCTCTCCTTACAACTATTCTGAACCACGATGATCTGTAAGCTTGTAATACACAAGACAAGAAGAGTTTACCATCACTGCCTCTATTAAAATAACTTCATATTTCTCACCTTTCCAATTCATAGTTTTACCCCCCTTTTAGCAATATTCCAGCAATATCCCGACGGGGGGCACCAGGAATATGGGCTTCACACATTGTACCCATGTGAGAAATCGAACCTGGGTCTTCGACGTGATGAGCGAATCACTAGACTATCCCATCGCCCCAATTCATAGCTTGGAGAATATCATCATAATATTTTCAAACTTGCATGACATGGATTTTCTTTTCAAAATCTGAAAGTCAGTTTGCAACAGCTATCATTGAAGACATCCCTGTCAGTTGCATGTGCATGATAGAGTATTCATGGATGATCATTCTTATCAATTTTTCGAAAAAAGGTACAAAACTGTCTCCTGAAACTCTCAAACTCATCAACAACTCACAAACATGTTAATCAATAAATGATGCAGATTCTTCTGAAAAGTTGCTAAATCTTAGCCCATCTGAAACCTGGTTACATTTGAGAGATTACTGTACTAGACATTCATGACAGATCTTATCTCAGAGGAGAAAATTGAATTATGGACCACAAAAGAGCTAGAAGCGGAACCAAATCAAATTAATCGTCACAATTAAATTTGGAGCAAGTGCATGGAGGGTTGTATACATAGGATCTGTCCTGAGGGAAGAGCTATGAGAAGAGATGCAATTAGTATAGCATGTCCATGAATATTCATTAGGATGAGCTATTAGGGATATTGCCCTTCTGCAACAGGTTTACCAACTGTTGATGGTCATTGGTCAGTCTAGGCTGTGATAAATGACCATATGACCACCTTTCGGCGCCAACAGCACCTAAAATCCAGACAAGTCATCCTGTTGTCAGACTTTGATTGCTTTATTCCTGAAGGAATCTGGATGAAGGTGATCATATAATTTATTTCATATTATTTCCAAATCATACTCTGAATTAATTTGATTTCAAAAATGGAAAATGCAGATAATCTCATTTTCATACTGGACATATACAAATTGTTGTATTGGCCAAGAAACGACTGTATTTAACTAGATTCCTCCCTCATCATTAACAGAAGCACGGTAAATACTGAATGGATCTGTTGAAAAAATGTCACTGGGGAACATTATCAATCAACTCAGGAGAAGGCAACCACAGAATTGCCACCAAGAACACCAACAGATTACAAATGTAAGCCAGCCATTTATTTAGCTGGGCTGCACTTGACAAGCAATTTGAGTCGCTGATCACTCTCTGACTGCTGAAGACACATTGAATGCTTTCTCTCCTTGAGTCGGTAATGTGTCCATGGTTATCCTCTCATTTACCTAATGAGCAAATTCTCCTTCCAACATCTACCTCCGAGGATGTTGGCAGGTGAGAGTTGGGATAAGGTAGAAAACACTTTGAAAATCCATCATACCTTCAGTTTGTTTTTTATCAACCCAATGTTTTTAGATACAAATTTTTTGGCATGCTAAATCAATTAACAAGTAAGTTGGCAACAGGGAATATTGATCATGCTCAGGTGAAAGTCACCCTCAAAGAAATTTTCAGCCCTTGTGTGCCTCTGAGGACCTGTGTGCCAGGCACAGCATTTAGGCCTGATCTATCATGTACAAATTATCCAATCTTGCCAATCAACTGCTTAATGTATCAACATGAAACTGATTGCTGTAGCTGATTTATGAGAGTCTGCACATCCATGTGCGCTGGCCAGGAATTACAGACAATTTACTGCCCAATCTACATGTGTTCTTGGCAATCTTTCTTCCTGAACTTAGGGCAACCCTCCAACACCCTGTGCTACAGGTATGAAGACATGTCTTAAAAATTTAAATATCAGTAAAGCTTGAGTGTTGAGTTAAGACTACATATCACAGTATTCAGCTATATAATGGTGGATTGGAACAGGAACAAATTGTTCATCACACATATATCACCTAAGGAAGACAATGACAAAAGATTTTGCTCTGAACAACTGTCCCTGTTCAAAGTCTGCATTAGAAATTTTGCCATTTTGATAAAATGCACATACATGTATATATATTCACTGTGAAACCAGATATTCTTTGTTATCTTTTTGCACTTGTAATGACTTCACTAAGCTCTAATAAGTGTCGTTTTCTCTCCATCGCTATTTGCCGTTGCAAGTTCCCTGCCAACTCTTCAGGATCGCAAGATAGGCCTCAATAAATGTTAAACAACCTCTGTCTCATGCTGCTAACAGTTAGATCACTTCCAGCGGGTGAAAAAAAACACAAATGTAAACTGCACTGCAAAGCATCATCTTCAAAACTGGACTATTTATTATGCCTCTTGGTGAAGTTCCAAATCACAGCCGGGCAAATTAAGCAGATCAGATTGTCTCTAGATTTCTGTTCCTTTAGCATGGCAGAGGGATCTCTCACTACTGATCAGGATGGAGTACTCCTGGCCACCTTGTGTTTACAGATATCAGCACACGGCAGGGAGTTTTGTATTAAACATGTCATGTTTGTGATGGAAGCCCCTGATAACTTTCATAGACAAGTCTATAGCTTCAGCAGGAGGAAATTCACACTAACGCTTCATCACTATGGGCATTGGTTTGTCACCCTTTAAAATTGCTATCTGTATATCACTATTAACATACACATTGACATTGGCAATCTAAAGGTTTCATAACTGTCATTCATGTGTCAACACTTGAAGCAATATCTTGGTCTTGGCAAACTTTGATTTCAGAATGACTTCAGTCTTGATGTATGTTTAAGAGATGACTTTTTATCATTTGATTTGTTTTCTTTATTGACACTTGCAACTGTTTTATGACAAACTTGAATAGTCGGTTCCTTTTCTGATTGATCAATACATTTGTATGTTTCAGTGAGAAGCTGCTTTAGTACAGGATCATAAATACTTAGACGAGGTGTCTGAACTTAGTAACCTTTGAAGACAAGGCTACTCTGTTCCCATGGACAGTGTCTGCATGACTGACTCAAGCATATCTCTGCGAATAAAACATTTACAACTATTTTATGTTCCAAAATCAAAATGACTATATCCTGCTTTTATTTCTCCATGCATAGCTAGGTAACTTTGGTGGCTATTTTCGGCAGATTCCGAGCTATCAATAGCGATTGTAATAGTCCTGGATTGATTGACTATCAGTCTCAATTGCTGCCACTCCCCACTGGCAACTTTACTGTTATACCAATATAGTCCTGTTAGCTTCATTGCGGGTTCCATTCAGTGATGTCTACATTGTGAGCAAATCCATTTTATTCATGGAAATCGTTCCCCTCTAACATTCACGTACAAATTGGACAATTGGGAAATTC